GAGATCCTTTCCACCCTTCCTAATCTTCCCCCCTCTTTCCCCCCGAGCCAATTGTTACAGAAGTCCTGTAGTTTTTGTTCAATTTCTTGTTTCATAGGCAAGAAGTCTGGAAAATCCCAATACCCACTCTACAAACGCAAAAACATACCTACACCGAACCCATATTAATTAGTGTTTCGTACTTTTTCTGCAGGTCGTATGATTTCTCACTATATTTCTAAGAAAAGATATGACGGTCACTGCTGAAACCCAGACGAAGACTAAAAAAAAAAAAAAAAAAAAAAAAAAAAAAAAAAAAAAGGATTACAACCAAAAAATTCCAGTCCACTACAATGACATCAAACAAGTATTCGCCTAAGGCGGCTTGGCTCACGATAAAACTCATGACAATCGAACTCATGAAACATGATGACAAATTGACAATCAAGCAAGCGCTCGAGTAGAGATAAAAAGGAGTGGCCATGTTGAAAGAGGCTTGGAACTTGGGAAGGCAATTTTATTTTATTTTTTTAAAGAAGGTAAATTTTCAGATATATAGGGCAAATTTGTTTTTGTTTTTTGTTTTTTCTTAGGGTTAATTGCTGGAAAATAAAAGTGTGAATTTCTCATGAAGCACGATGAACGTTTTATTGCTTTTTCCTGTTTGTTTGTTTTGTTCACATTTTTTGCAGATTTGCCCGTCCTGTGTGAGCGGTTGGAGTTTGAGACGTTCGCTCACCGTGTGCGACTGGCGCTTGCTGAATAGCGAACTGAGGTTGTGGGCTACATCGATAGTATGCATTATTATTATATTATTGTGAACTGACTGAAGTGGATGCTGCATGCAAAGGTGGGTTGTCTATAGCATAATAGCCTATCTATAAACGAAGTACGGGATTATGGTGGCATGTCTATAGTCGACCACAGTACTGTCTATAGTACTTCGTTTACAGTCTATAGTACTCTGCAGGTTATGGCACATTACTACTGCCTATAGTACTTCCTCCATAGTACTGTGCTATAAGCAAAGTATGAGATCGCCGTGGCACATCTGTCGTACTACTCTGTAGATTATGCCACATTACTATCTATAGTAGTACTTTGTCTATAGTACTATGTTATAACGTTATCGTACTACTCTGTAGATTATGCCACATTACTATCTATAGTAGTACTTTGTCTATAGTACTATGTTATAAAGTTATAAACAAAGTACAAGATCACTGTGGCACATCTATAGTCCACCGCAGTACTGACGTGGACTGTCTTCTTCTTTGCCTCAACAGACAGATCAAGTTTTGTCGGAGGGGGGGCGTGGAGGGGGTTGGGGAGGGGTTGGGGAGGGGTTGGGGAGGGGTTGGGGAAGAAGAATAAAGAGGGAACTAAGATGACGGTCGCCAAGGGTGATGCCGGCATGGCATTTTTGTTGACAGCAACCGCTGGATTGGCAACCGTCTTAGGAGCCTGCATGGTATTTTTTGCTAAATTGGCGAATAGGGGGACGTTGGCAGTGTCATTGGGGCTGGCGGCAGGTGTGATGCTATTCATTTCTTTCTACGACCTTCTCGCCCTCGCATCCATCCGAGCGTTTAGTGATGGAGGGCTAGAGGATAAGTTTGCACAGTTGTATGCCATGCTATCTTTTTTCGGTGGCGTCATCTTTCTTCATATCATCGATTGGATCCTCCACGGTCTTGCGGATTGCACGGCGGGGGAGAAACGGCCGGGAGGGGTGCCGTCGCTGTCAGCTGCTCATGGCCACGGCACAAGTCTGCCCTCCTGGATGCTGCCTGACGACGAGAAGGCTGCGATTTTGCAGGCTGTCCCCACCCTGCCCTGTGCGGAACAACCAGAAGTCGCAGAACACGGAGGTATGGACGTCGAGAGCGGTCAGTGTCCGCAGCCAGCAACGGCGACCGGTCGCCACTTACCTCAGTCGAACAAAAGAGCATCCACCTCGCCGCCGAGCACAACAACGTTGTTTCTGACCAGCCCGCCGGCAGGAAGCCTTGAGCATGCCGCCGGGACCACCACAGAAAGGGCCAGTTCCACGGCGACAGCCCCTGCTGCTGCTGCACCTCAGGTCCCTGACAAGCAAGGAAGGGCACGCCTCCTCCGGACCGGGTTACTTACGGCTGTCGTTATCGGGATCCACAACTTTCCGGAAGGAATCGCGACCTTCGTCTCCTCGTTGAAGGACGTGAAGCTTGGAGCGTCAATGTGCATTGCAATTGCTTTGCACAACATACCAGAAGGCATCTGTGTATCCATGCCCGTGTTCTACGCGACTGGCAGCAAGAAGAAAGCCTTCTTCTGGGCCTTCTTGTCGGGCATGGCAGAACCCTTGGGAGCACTACTGGCGTATATCGTCCTGGCAAATGTTATGAATAACGTTGCGTTCGGTATTCTGTTCGGAGGCGTAGCAGGAGTAATGGTCAGCATCGTCTTGGTAGAGCTTCTTCCGGCAGCAAGGAAGTACGATCCCGAGGACAAATACGTGAGCACCAGCCTCTTTGTTGGCATGGCGGTGATGTCCGCAAGCCTTATTCTCTTCAAATTCTCTTCGTGACTTGCTGCCAAGCTCATTGGAATTCTTCTCAGGCCACACTCACACCATGACCGGAATTGCGCCGTGACCTGGATGTATGTGACAGCGATTACATCCTCAGCCAACTATATTCCAAAAGGTCCTGGTGCGACTATGTGCTCATTCGAAGGGACAGGCGATTCATTTCTCTTCGACTTCCGAGATGATCTATCTGACAACCAGGTCATGTTTGTCCTCTGTAAGATCGTCTCAGCTTACTCCTTGAAGTTCATCCATGCAGTGCGGGGAAAAGGTAATCATCAGTGCCCCCTGTAGTCTGAATGATGCATGTCAAGCCCAGCCAGACCTGTACGCATGCTTCCTCCTATAATACAGTTGCCTGCCTCTCTCCGGCAACAGTATTATAGGACTCTACCCCTACCTCCTCCCCAGGAAGCATGCGTGTGTGTTTGTGCGCGCGTGCGGCGGCCGCATGTCTGTGCGCAAGCCGTGTCACAAAGGGTGAAAGAGTTAACAAAAGACGGCAAGGCTCCACACGTTTGTGCGGTTGTGTTACATGTTCACACAC